ATGAAATGTCTTTAATGGAGGGAAGAGGAGCCTCCATGATCCTCTCTGCCCGTCTCACCTTCTTCCAGTCTGAGGCGCTGCAGCCTCCACACCACACAGTGAGACAGCTGGTCAGAACGCTCTCTATGGTGCTTCTATAGAAGGTGGGGAGGATGGTTGGGGGTATGTGGGCTCTCCTCATCCTCCACAGGAAGTCCATGTGCTTCTGGGCCCTTTTGACCAGTGAGGTGGTGTTTCCAGTCCAGTTGAAGTCCTGCTGACCACCTCTATAGCTGAGCTGTTGATGAGCAGTGGAGCGTGGTTAGGCCGGTTCTTCCTGAAGTCCACCATGATCTCCTTCATCTTCTCCACCTCCAGGATCAGGCTGTTATCTCTTCTTCTATAGAAAAAGAAGCTCTAACTCTGACAGAAGATTTTGACTGCTGTGATGGTTTCTTGTCCTTAGTTTGATATTGCTGTTGAAATTGTTATGATTTAGTGAGACTGATGAATGTGAGTCATTCCTTAGCGTAAGTTTTTTTTTTTTTTTTTTTTTTAGGCCTTTAAAAAGCTAATAAAGTTGATAATTAATAAATTGGGATATCAGTAGGCCTTTGCAGTGCAACACTCCTGGGGCTGTAATGATGCGTAAATTATAATATTGTGACATCAGCCTGATGAGGATAAAGTGGAAAGAGAGAAAATGTGTTTCTCCTCAGTTCTCTGTCTGGTCTTCAGGAAGAGCTGTAGCTTTAGGTTTGCTGTCACGAGGGCTGAAGTTGTTGGTTAACATTCACTGTAACTGTGTCTGGTAGGGATCAATAGATACTGAGCCAAAAACTAACAGCCACTCAAATCATTCAGGGTCAATCTATGCTGATCACTGTGAACCAACAGGAAAATTAAACCATGAGAAAATCGACTTTTTCCAGATAAATCATGCTAATGAAGATACGCACGCATTTACACTATGGTGCTGTTTAAATTAATTGATGGTCCTGCATTTTATCTACATTAAATTGGTTTAGCAGTTTCATCTGTAATTACATAGTTAGATCACTGCGGACAAACTCCCTCATAAAAAGAGCATGAATGTCTCAGTCCTCTTTGTAGTGTTTGTTCGTGAAGAACTAGTTTTAGTATTTTTGTTTTTTGGTTTCTTGTTACTTTACAAACGTTAAAATGTCAAAAGAGAAAATTCTACACGATGGTCTCACTGCTGCCACCCTCTGGTTTAGAGAAGAACTGCTTGTTCCAAAGGTGTTGATTTAGATCCATGTGGGAACTAAGCCTGGATAATTAATTGCATTTACAATATTGGAACAATTTAGAAAAAAAATACAATTTTGAAACAGCAGAGTCGCTCAGGTTTAGTTACTTTACATTTAACAAGAGTAAGGAACCAGCTTTCTCCCTCCAGTCCTGGTGGCTTCTGTGGGAAAAAGCTATTCAACTGTGAACTTGAGGGATTTCCTTCAGTCGGAACTTTATTTTATTTGCAAAGATAAAGAGAACGAGATGGCATAATGTCCAGCCCTGCTCTGCCTAGACAAACGATTGTTAAGTTTCAATTCAAAGGCTGCATCCTCCAAAGCTTCATAGGCCGATGATGTCACAGCGCGGTGCGAGGTCTGTTGGATTGAAAGACTCCTGGTTATGTGGCCGATAAAAGCCTTGGATATCACATGATTCATTGCGAGTCTGAGCAAGCCGGCTGCTCTGCGCTCAGAGGAAAAAGGGAAATGGCACCGAACAGTGGTGAATATTGAAAGTGCAGTTTAATATAATCCAAGTATGTGAATAGTTCCGTCTGAAATGAATGAAAATAGTTTGTTTAATGTAATTGAGTCAGAAATGTGGCGGGTAAGGTTTGGTTAATCTGAAGGTTTTATGTGTCTCTATGTAAATGGCTTTGGCTGTAATTTAAGCTCAGATTCCAATATCTCTGCAGTGTGGGGACTATAAATCTGATATCTGCCTGCTTTGTGACTGTGACGGTTGCTAGGAAACAGAGCGTACGGGACGTGAAAGCCAGAGAAGGCTAGACGTGTGTGGAAGCCATAGCAGAAACTCTTCCAGCCTCCTTATTTTCACGGACCTGGTCCAGGTAGACCGGGTCCTTGGAGGACGCAGCTTCTGAAATCAAATCCCTGAAGCAAGGCTGTTAAGATCTCAGCATACTGTTACCAAAACAATGACAGGTGGAAACAACACATAATGTTATGAGATAATCCCTGAAAATCTGTCTAGCTTGTTATCAGAAAGATAATTTGTATCCCAAACAGTCCCTTATAGATTAAACACCCCCCTCCATCAGAAACCTTGTAGTTCTGAGGTCTGAAAAAATGAAACTCTTAGAAATCAATATACGGAAAAGGGAATTAATAGATTGATTCTTTTCCCACCACAGCATCGGTAAGCGACTTAAAATGGGTTAGTGTCCACACAGAAGCAAAGAGAGAGCAACAGCTAGCAAGCAGAAGCATGCATGATTGTAGAAATAAGATAAATAAGATGTTTTTTTTCCCCCTCCAAGTTTCAGAAAGGTCCTGCAAGAATGCATGCAAGCTTTCAAGGTCATGAAAAACCTGAAACTGTGGAATCAAACATGCTTCCAAAAGAAAGTGGTAACAGCAATATATCACCTGGTAGAGGTGACCAATGGTGACCAAGCTCTGTCTCTGGGGAACATCATAAATACACCCGCTTAACAAAGTTTTGATTATTTTCTGTAAAACAGCTCAATGCAGCACTCAATAAAGAGTGAAAAGAACCAAAGAGTAAGTCTGCAGATAAAGTGTACCAGTGCTGAAATTGTGCTTTATCTCCCTCTGAACCAGGGCTTCCTAAAGAGTGAGCGAGTTTCCCGAATGGTTCAAGGCGGCGGCTGCTCAGCCAACGACTTCCGTGAGGTTTTTAAGAAAAACATTGAGCGCCGGGTGCGCAGCCTTCCAGAGATCGACGGCCTGAGTAAAGAGACGGTGCTGAGCTCCTGGATCACCAAGTATGATGCCATCTACCGTGGGGAGGAAGACATGCGCCGCCAACCACAGCGGGTGCATCTGAGCGCCGCGTCAGAGCTGATCCTCAGTAAAGAGCAGCTGTATGACATGTTCCAGCAGATACTGGGCGTCCGCAAGTTTGAGCACCAACTGCTCTACAATGCCTGTCAGGTAGGTGGATGGAGGTCAATCCATGGAGCCGCCTGTGCAGAATGCTGGTTTTAGAATTTATTAGCAGCATCTGTATCGGTTCCATGGATAAAACTGGGCCAGTAGTGATGTTTATATGATGGCACTTTAGAAGAGAAGGGAATATGGAGAATTGGAGTGTCCTTTCTTTGAGACATCACAGTAATGCTTAGTCCACCTTTAAAGCTCTGCATTTCAGATGCAGTGTTTACACTCTGGACAAAGAGGAGGAGCTTCAACTGCATGAAGCTGAAACCCCACCCACGTGAAAAAACTCATCAGATAGACTGAATGGTTATTGCTTCTTTATCGCAGCTTTAAGCATTTTTAATGGTCATTTGAAGAAATTGAGAAAAATGAATACATAAAAAAGCTCATATGTGCTGCTGTTGTTTCAGAGATATTAAAGATAATTTTTTAGGTCACTCAGAGGTCAACTATCCCCCATTAAGCTCTGAATTGAATCTAAATGATCTAGCCTACTTGTTCAGAGCTGCTTCATTTCTGCAGGTAAAACTGTTGTTTGTGCTGATTTGGTTTTTAAGATAGAATTATTATTAATTACGACCAATGACATCACCGTCCCAGCAGGAGTTATTGCATAACATCAGATGTCATTCCTGTATATAACAGTGGGCATGTTGATCTTATTTAGTAACTGGAATGGTTGTTTAATATTAACAGTTAATCACCAGCCTCCTGGACCCTCTGCTTTGGACCTGCCGTTACCCCGGGCAACCCTATACCATTCCCTGCCAGCTTTTCCCAATAAAAGCACAGGTGAACCTTAACATCACAGGCTCCTGCTGAATTGTTTTCTATAAACAGCTTTTGAATCACCTTGGGGAGACCATCATTTTTTTGGAAAAGCCCCAAAAGCTCAGAAAAAAAAAACGCAGCTCTGATTCTGTGGGACCTTGTAAATCTGTCCCCTGTTGTGGGAAAAAAAGTATTCAACTATTCACTCAACTTAAATAAATGGAGATCGATGCATTTCACTCAGTCGGCATTTTATTATATCTTTGCAAAGAGAGAACAAAACATCATATGGCCCTTATTGCATGGTAATCAGCCCTGTTCCTTACTTACAATAATGGAAAGTAGGCAGAGTCAAAACAAATTATGGACACTTTGGTTAAAACATTAACATGTTATAAATAAACCATGAGAAAGAATCTGGATTGTTACTGGAAGAAGTATTTTCTTCTATGCAAATAATCATGGCTCAGATATTTTGTGGCCTTGCAGGTGAAACAGACGGAGTAAAAACATTTTTCAGTGAGTAAATGGCATAAATCAATATATGAAATGAGAGAAATCTAAATTTTCGACGACACCCCTCAGAGAGCCCCGATGCTGGGCAGTGGGCAGCGGCAGACCAGGCTTGTGCTGGAGGTAAGGGAGGATGATGAACAGTCCTTCCAGGACTAAATTAAAACAGCATTTTTTAAAGCCACCTAAAGACATTTGCAGAGCATTCCTTATTTCTACCATTGTTAACATTATTTTATGAATGCACCTTTTATGCATTTTATAAGTATGCAAGTAAAGAGACACATTTATATGATGAGAAACAGTCTGGATAAGATGCTAACCTGAACATTTAATCTGTTGGATCGATGCTCTGCTGCTTTCAATGGGTCAGAAAGATTCTCCTTAGAAAAAAAAATGTCTTTATTTAACAGGAAATTCAGGATGAGTGTTTTTCACTAAGGCGTTCATTAATCCTTGAAAGGAACAGATAGTGTTTCCTAGGATCCTGCCTGTTCTGATCTAGACAAAGTTTTTCTCCCCAACTGAAAGCCTGCAAAAAGCTGTGAAGGTTTCCACATTTAGTTCATCCAAATAGTAAAATGTTGAATGAACCTTCAGAGGAAGGAGTCTGAACTGTGATGAAAAATGATCTTCTGTTACAAACAGTCCTTCATTCTAGTAAAACTAACCCTCTCACCCAGACGCCTGAGTGAAAATATTCTGAAGGGATGTGAGAGGAAAATGACCACAGAGCTTCGTGCTAACCTGAACTTGATCAACTGAATGAATTAATCTGATCAATGATCTTCTTTTATTTTGAAAATGTTGCCTCATGGTCCCATAAAACATTTGGAGTTTCAGGAAATAAAGCTGGATAAGACAGATCATCAGATGATAGAAGCAGCTGGTAGGCAGGTTTATGGGTTGCTGTTTGCTCTTCAACAGGACACTTTAAAACCTAATGATATGATTGAGTGTTTTTTATGATGCCAGAGCAGAAATCAGCAACGCCTCGCTGGAGTGGATATCCTGACAAAGTCATGGAATTTGATGCCATTTCTGTCGGACAAGCTGTGTCCTTATTGGAAAGGTTCAAAAAGTAAAATAAAAGCATTAGTTTCAGAAGAAACTCATGTTTAAAGGTGATTTATTGAAGGCTAAATGTTTTTCAAAATAGGAGCTATGAATAATGCAGCCCTCTAGAGGGGACACAGTGGAACTGCAGGGGGGTGTAGAGATACAGTGACTAAATTACCCATTATGGGAGATATCTGAAAAGGTTTAAGATCTCCTGCACCTTAAAACAAAAGTTCAACTTAAAACGACTCCAACGGCAGGAACGGTTAACTGTCCTTTCTTTTGTGGGCTGAAAACTTTCTTGTTTTAAACTGGATTTTTGGTTTTATTTCAGCATTGAAATTTACAGAACATATCAGGAAAGACACATGTTAACGTTATATTGGCCGTTAGTGAAATAAAGTTTTAGCTTTATAAACAGTAGCTCCAGACATGTTAGCATTGGGTACCATGTGATCACCGTTAGCTTCCGCTTAGCTTGCTGTACACAACAGTAAACCCATAAAATAATCAGACAGCATCAAAAACACCAATTGTTTAGCTGGAAACTATTTTTCTAACTTTGCCAGACTTGTAACCTCCTGGTGAGGCATTTTCAAAGTTCAGGAACGCAACATTGCTGAACTGGTTTGTGTTCATGTTAGGGTTGTTAAGTTTCCCCAACTTTAACCTGTAAAAAATGAAACAAAGACAGCGTAAGATTTTTCCTGAAATGCTTTGCAAAGGGGAGAACAGTATCAATCTCTGCATCTCCGCTTGGCTCAACACTTGCCAGGCTTTTTATTGAACAGTCAACACATTAAAACAGCAGGCGTTAGTTTCGATTACGCAATCTCTTAGACATTACATGAACCTTTAAGATACGGAACTTGCCTGGTTCCAGTATACGCTTTACACAAGGTGTCAGGGTTCTGAACTTTCACTTCTGTGCTTCTCAAATGAAAAACAGGAAAGCATTCTTGCAAAACATTTGACCGTCTTATGGCCTTCATACACTATTTCCAATGATGAGAGTAACATATAGAACATATAAATGATTGAGAGCAATATAAAACATATAAATGAATAAAATGATAAAGACAACAGAAATCATAATAACTCCAACAGTTCGGATCAGGCAAAAGGGGCCATGAAGGAGTTTGCCCTGCAACCGGAGGATGTCGGTTCAAGCCCTAGCTCCACCTTTCATTATCATTGTCCTTGGGCAAGAGACTTCCCCTGCTTTGTCAACTGATGGTAGTCAGATTGACAATGAAATAAAGATGACTGGTGGTTCCAGTGTACGACAGCCTAGCTTCTGTCAGTGGGCCCCAAGGCAGCTGTGGCTACAAGGTAGCTCACCACCATCAGTGAATGGGTGAATGATTGAATGTGGTGTAAATGTGGACTAGGCCACAATTGGACTGAGGCCATGTGTTCCCTTGTGGGCCCTTCCGCCATAACATCCAGGGGAGTTTTGATAAAATGATTTTGATAAAACAAAACACACTTTTGCTTTGAGAGCAAGCTGCACAGAATTTTTGGTCAGCCTTGAAGTGTTTGTCGCAGGGCTCCACAGGGTGAATCCAATATTCCAAATTTGTTGGGCTTTCCCTCTTTGAAGGAGGCGTGCACACCAAGATATTATCCCATCTCGCCTTTGAGTTCAACCACCACAGCCAGCTGGTGTTCAGTTGCCCCCAGCTGGCTCCCGTCAGCAGCCTGATCAATGCCCAAATTGCCGCCGACATCCTCTGTAATTGTAGATACATCCTGTATCCTCCAAATCCAAACAGGAGAAATCAGAGTATCATAAATCCAAACATCCATACATCTTCCATGTCCTCCACAGACAACATAAAACACACCGTTCTCCAAGCCGCCCCAGGAGTCCATGGTGTTTCCCACAAAGTATGTCCCAGCAGGACAGGAGGGGTCCCCTTTTCCCTGTCTTGCTTTTGAGAAAATTTGATCAATTGTATTGAGAGACCAGCTGACCAGATCCATTTTTGAATTCAGGTGATATGAAGAGAAGGGGGATGCTCAGTGGGACAGTGGGTAGCACTGCTGCCTTGCAGCAAGAAGGTTCTGGGTTCTATTCCTGGTCCAGGGTCTTTCTGCATGGAGTTTGCATGTTCTCCCTGAGCATGCGTGGGTTCTCTCCAGGTACTCCAGCTTCCTCCCACAATCCAAAAACATGACTGTTAGGTTAATTGGCTTCTCTAAATTCTCCTTAGGTGTGAGTGAATGGTTGTTTATCCTGTTTGTCTCTGTCTTGCCCTGTGATGGACTGNGGCCTTCATACACTATTTCCAATTATGAGAGTAACATATAGAACATATAAATGATTGAGAGCAATATAAAACATATAAATGAATAAAATGATAAAAACAACAGAAATCATAATAACTCCAACAGTTCGGATCAGGCAAAAGGGGCCATGAAGGAGTTTGCCCTGCAACCGGAGGATGTCGGTTCAAGCCCTAGCACACAAGCCCTAGCACACAATCCAAAAACATGACTGTTAGGTTAATTGGCTTCTCTAAATTCTCCTTAGGTGTGTGTGAATGGTTGTTTATCCTGTTTGTCTCTGTGTTGCCCTGGACTGGCGACCTGTCTGGGGTGTACCCCACCTCTCGCCCATAGACAGCTGGAGATAGGGACCAGCACCCTATAGTGGGATTAGGCGTGTTAGAGGATGGATGGATGGATGGATGGATGGATGGATGGATGGATGGATGGATGGATGGATGGATGGATGGATGGATGGATGGATGGATGAGAAAAGACCAGACACAGCAAAACAGGGACAGAGCAGGGACGTGAAGGAGCAGCAGGAAGATGTGATCGCCTCCTCCGTGAGCAGAATTGAAGCTTTTATGTTTCTCTTCTGATGATTGCAGTTCAGTAAAAGCCTGTTAATCAACTATCAATTAAAATCAGCTGTGCTGAAGCAGAGAAACCTCTAAAACCTGCAGGATGGCGGCCCTAGAGGATCGACTTTGGACAAGCCAATTCCAGAGTTTGGAAAGGCCAGCATGGACATTGGTCCCCAGGCTCTAAAAAAATAATATCATAGCCTATTGCACAAAGAAGAAAAATAAAATCAACTGCCAAGTTAATGAGTATTTTTGCAATCAAAATAAACTTATGGTAGTTTTTTTTTTACTTATTTAGATTGTAAACCAACTTTATTTCATTGTCAAATTGGCTAATCTGCTAAAATCAAGGGAAAATAAAATTATAAAAAAAAACAACTCTTTTTTTCTTTCTTGTTTTGCTGTGTAGTCTTTAAAATGTGAATGTTATCTACCTTTCTATCAGCACTCTTCTTCTTCTGTTTATTTGATGCTCGTCTTATAGCTTGACAACGTGGATGAACAAGCTGCTCAGATCCGCAGAGAGCTGGACGGTCGGTTACAGCTGGCTGAGAAGGTTGCCAAGGTCAGGTCTGCTTTACTGGATAAAATTCTTTGGTGTAAATCATGAAAACTATCATAACGAACTAGAAAAATCTGTTTTTTAACTCGAGAAATAAGTAATATAAAAGTCAAACACTTGTTTTAGAACAAAACTGATTGATTTGATGCTGGCTGCTCATGAATACGTTCCTCCTTCTAGATGTGCTGATTATTACAATATTGAGACGAGGAGGAACTTTTCTCTGTGTTGTGCAGGAAAGGAGATACCCTCGCTTTATCTCTGCTGACATGGAGGCTCTGTACGTGGACGAGCTGCGTTCTTCTGTCAACTTGCTGATGGCTAACCTGGAAAGCCTGCCAGTGTCTAAAGGAGGACCGGACTTCAAGCAGAAACTTAAGCGCTCCTCCATGAATAACTCCTTCTTGGATTTGGGGGATGAAGGAGACATCCTGTCCAAATCGGATGTTGTGCTGTCCTTTAATCTGGAGGTTAGTCTGAAAGCAAAGCTTCCAACCACATGTGTTCTGTCCTGAAAGCTTTTCTGGAAGGCTGAATAGCAAGGAGCTCATCTTGGGAAGGTAGAGGATGGCGTAGCTTCACAGTCATCTTGGAATAAAAGGCTGCAAAGGAGGGGGGAACTGTTATTCTGCCCCCTTTACTCTGATACACACAGGTGAACTTCAGTACATATCCCAAAGTCAAACATAGCAGTGGCTGCATCATGCTGTGGGGAAACTCTTCTTCAGCAGGGGCAGAAAAGCTTATGGATGCATTTAAATCCTGGAGGAAAAGGCTGCAGCAGAGGTTCACCTTCCAGAAGAAGAACCTCCCTGAAAACCCAGCCTTAGATGCAATACGTGGTTGAGATCATGGCCTAGTCCAAGTCCACACCAACGTCCAAACATTAGTGCTTCCCTTGGAGTTTCTTTCTACCAGATTTTAATTTTGTCAGCCAACCAAAGCCCTGCTGCTGAACCTCAGAGGGTTTTTATTGCTTTAGGTTCTGAAAAAACTAGTTTGGATCAACCTGCAGAGATGTTGAAGGTCTGCTGCAGCTCATCCAGTCAGTGAAGTAGAGTTTAAAATGTGTTTGTCTGAATCCTTTGACGTCTGTTCCAGGTTGTTATCGTTGAGGTCCAGGGGCTGAAGTCTGTGGCTCCAAACCGGATTGTCTACTGCACCATGGAGGTGGAGGGGGGGCAGAAGCTGCAGACTGACCAAGCAGAAGCCTCCAGACCACAGTGAGTTTATCTTTAAGCTTTTGTTTAAAACTGTGCAGCAAACAGGGGTTTCCTCTGGAGTTGCTCATGGTTTTAGCTACATTTGGGAGATCCGGTTCTTCATACTCTGAGCGCTGCAGGTTTTGAAGGAACATGAATTTAATTTAAACCCTAGAACCAGGGATGAGCACCTGTTTCTGAGAGTCTGCTCCCTCTGTCCTTCACTTACCAAGGCTGTTTGTTGGCTCAGGTATCCAACAGTTCAAATGAGAAAGGTTAGATTCTTCAATTCTATTATAGAACAATGAACATTTTGTCAGGATTAATAAAATCCTGATGTTTGGATAGAAAGGAATTGAAGACATGATCATGGATGAACACTGAGACGTTTAACTGACAGATTACGCTGCACAGTTATCTGTAAAAAAGGTGTGACTGTTTGCCACCCAAGAGGCGGGGGAGCCCAGGTCTAGCTTCTAACCCCTTCCCAGACACTCCTTCCACCAATCTTTCACCCAGTGCCCCCCATTTACCCAACCAGGCAATGTCCCTATAAACCTGGGATCCACCCCACTGATGGACCCACCCCGCCCCCTCAATGTCATAGCGGGGAAGCACCCTGTGACGGACCCCCCACAATGTCATAGCGGGGATCCACCCCTCTTGACAGACACACCCTGCCCCCACGACATCAGAGCGGGGATCCACCCCACTGACAGACCCACCCCGCCCCCTCAATGTCATAGCGGAGAAGCACCCTCTGACGGACCCCCCACAATGTCATAGCGGGGATCCACCCCACTGACGGACTCACCCCGCCCCCTTGATGTCATAGCGGGGATCCACCCCTCTTGACAGACACAACCCGCCCCCATGACTTCAGAGGCGAGAACCACCTTCCTGACCGACCCACCACGACGTCAGAGAGGGGGACCATCCTTCTGAGGGACCCACCACGCCCCCAAAAAATCTGCCTCAGCAGAACTCAACTGTTCCTAAGAGTAAAACACCTCGAATCGTGACTGTATGGGAGGATGAACACAGTGCTGAACAAGGTTTCCATGGCGCAGTAATATAATATCCCATAATATGTTGAAGGCCCCTTCATGGACAGTGACATCGGGTGCAAGAGTTTGCCCTGTAATCTGTGGGTTTGAGCCGCAACTCCGGCTTTCAGGGTCATTGTATCCTTGGGCAAGATACTTCACCTGCGCTTTCTACTAATGGTGGTCAGATGGTGGCACCAGCATACGGCAGCCTGGCTTCTGTCAGTGAGCCTCAGGGCAGCTGCGTCTACAGTGTAGTTTGCCACCATCAGTATGTGTGTGAATGGATGAATGTAGTGCAAAACACTTAGGTCAAGTCTCCTGACTTGGAAAAAAAGTCCTATATTAGTACATTTAGGCCATTTAGCATTATATGTTCTCCTGTTCTGTCCTGGTAAGCAGGCAGGACGGCGCTCCATCACCATTTTGGCTGCTGTCAGTCAGCGCTCGGCTGATTATGGTATGTCTGCTCAGACAGCAGGGGGCTGTGGAGTAATAAGGCTGACCTTTCACTTGTTCAGGCTGCTAATGATTGTTTTTCTCTGAAGTTCTCCTTCTGTCAGAATCACCAATCGGAGGCAAATAGAGGAGACCCTTTCTGTCCAGAAGGGTCCAATGTGGGAACTGGGCTCTTCTGGAAAGCCTCTCAGTGCCTTTGTGGCTAATGCACGCTCTGTTTCGTGTTTCTCATCGTGCGTTACATCATGGAGGACAGGCTGTGGTCCATTTCCTGCTTATTAGGAATGAAGAACACTGATTCCTGTTACAGATTTCAGAGAAACGCTCTTTAAGCGCTTTATGGAGGAAAAACAATTTAAACATAAAACTTTCTGAATAGGAACATCTTCAGTTGTTTTCCGTCTGTGCAGCCGAGGAACCATGGGAAAAGATTCCAGAACCTCGCAGTCCACATCTGAACAACTCGGCTTCCAAGGTTTTAAAACGGATTCAACTTTGCAGCATTAGAGAAAGACCACTGAGTTTTAGATGGAGGCAGATGATCAGATGGTTCAGGATGTAATGAGGAGCATGGATCAGTCCTAAGGTTAAAATGAATCCTCAAGTGAAGATGGAGTCCGTAAGGAGAGCAACTTTAAAATCTGCTTCAGTCGTTTGAACAAGTGGAAATAAAAACTGGAGCAACCATCTCTGGTTCTTAGCTAAGACGAATTCCCCAACTGATAAACAGCGTTTTTTTAAATCGTGCTGCGTTCATCAAAGGACCAGGTGCAGTGAAACCCTCCACTGCACCAGGGACCGGTTTAATGTCATACGCTCTGTAGTCCTCTGTGGTCGCTATGGTAACATTAAACATGCCTTTAAATGCCACAAAATTAGCCTGCTAACTACTCACATAGCTGTGAACTAGTGAAGATGTCAGCTTGTTTTCTGAATCAACATGGTGGGAGGGATCATGTGACCTGCATTGTCATGGCGACATTCGTCAATAGTGGGTCATGGACGGAAGTGATGGAGTGAATCCTCTCAGTTTTTAAAATAAAAGATTTAGACTAAACAATACTTCTGTCAGAAATAATAGTTATTTATTCTTTTTGTGCGGCCCGGTACCAAAGGACACACTGACTAAAGGACACATGGACTGGTACCAAAGGACACATACAGTCATGGCCAAAAGTATTGAGAATGACACAAATATTATATTTTCACATGGTCTGCTGCCCTCTGGTTTTCATGTGTGTACAGTATGTCAGATGTTGTCATCACATGCAGAAATACAATTGCAAACATATTATGAGTAACAAAAGCTTTTAATGGCAGTTAAAATGAGTTAATGCAGTAAGTCAATATTTGCAGAGTTGACCCCTCTTCTTCAGGACCTCTGCAATTCTCCCTGGCATGCTCTCAATCAACTTCTGGACCAAATCCTGACTGATAGCAGACAATTCTTGCACAATCAATGCTTGCATTTTGTCAGAATCCCTAGGTTTCCATCTGTCCACTCGTCTCTTGATAATTGACCACAAGTTTTCAATGCGATTAAGATCAGGGGAGTTTCCAAGCCATGGACCCAAAATCTCTATATTTTGTTCCCTGAGCCAGTTAGATATCACCTTTGCTTTACGGCAAGGTGCTCCATCATGCTGGAAAAGGCAAACTGCTCTTGGACGTTGGGAGAAGTTGCTCTCGGAGGACATTCTGGTACTATTCTTTATTCATGGCTGTGTTTCTAGGTAAGACTGTGAGAGAGCCGACTCCCTTGGCTGAGAAGCAACCCCACACATAAATGGTTTCAGGATGCTTTACAGTTGGCACGAGACAAGACTGGTGGTAGTGCTCACCTCATCTTCTCCGAACAAGCTGTTTTGACTGCTGGAGATAAGCACCAGCACCCCTC